ATGAGAAATGTAATTGTGTTGTATACCTACAATGTACCAATAAAAGAATTTAATTTAAAAAAACAAAAAACAAAAACAATAACACAATCCAATTCCAAATTGTAGCCATCCAGGAAAGTGAGATGTAGTAGTGGAGGGATTAGGAAAGCAAAGATGAAGTTTGGAAGGCCACTAACAGAAACAGTAGAAAAGGACAGACATAAAAGAGAAGGCAGATAAGGAAGAGCTTCAAATTGCAAAGAGTAAAGGAGAAATTTGGGCATGGAGGACAGTTTGAGGGGAGGGTAGAGGAAAATGAAGAAGGAAGAGAAAGTGACAGAAGGAAAAACTGGAGAGTTTACCCCTCTTGAAGTACTGGTTTGGTCAAACAGATTTTCAAACTCATATTTTCAGTATGGGATTTAAGGCATTTTGTTGAATTAGCTAATTAATTGTTGTTTGCAGTTCTCTGAAATGGACCATGACCATTACCCACAATGAATAGTGTGACCACAAGGATGCACCAAGGGCTGGGCTGGAGTGACCTGAGCATTGTCAGGCCAGATATGGCCAAAGGTCAAAGATTCCCATTCTGCACCCCTTCTCACAGGTATAGGGAATTATTAAATCACTGCAAATATTTTTGTAGTTAGAATTAGGATAAAATAATAGAGTTAAACATGAATATTATGGCCAATAACAATAGTGTCAGAAGAATATTCAAATAGAAAGCGCTTGCCAATGCACTTCAATTGCCATCTGCCATTAGTCAGTCAGTTCTGTTTATAAACATAAAATAATACCTAAAAGTCTTTTAAGAGTTTTTGGAAATTTTTATTTCTTACAAAGTTTTAAATTTGTAGAAAAATATCTACAGTGATTCTTTTTTAAAAAAGTGAAAAATTTGGAGTGGGCTGATTTTATTACTATATTAGTCAAACCACATCCCTATCTCCAGCACAACTGCCTGGCACCCCAGCTGCGATATCACTGTCTGCAGGTCTGTGTTTTCCCTTGAACACTTTCAGACTGACCAGTAACAGCTTTACCCATTATCTAGTCCAAGGAGTGAGGAGATGAAATTTGAGACCGGGAAGAATTAGTCAAATCAAATAAGTATCAACATCATGAGTGGTAGAATTCCAAATTTAGCAAAAATATTTTAAATAGTTAACACAAAGTATGCTCCTCTCCAATGTGTGCGTGATGCTATCCTGATGTAAACTGGTTTTCACATCTGTACCTACCTGTCTGCTGCGTACCCCAACGTGAACGCCCCAGCCAGGAAGCCTAGGTTCAGGATGGCTTGGGTGAAGTCCAACATCCATGCGTTGACACAAACAAGGTCAAACTGGGAAGACAAAGAAAACACACCTGAAGACTCGTGGGTATATGCCTTTGAAGTACTTTATGTCTTGTATAGATCACTGATCTTTAAACACTTGCTCATATACTCCTTAAATTTTGAAAATTTATCACTGATAAATTTTTACACCGATACAGAAGTATTTTGTCAGTTTAAATAACTGCAAAAAATGTAATTTCTGGGCCTGGGATTTATCTCAGTGCCTGGCTTGCAAGCAGAAGGTCCTGAGTTCTATCCCCAGTACCAAAAAAAAAAGTAATTTCTACTATACTGTCCGGTTTTAAAATAATGTTACATCATTTTTTAAGTGTATCCAGGAGAGTGTAAATACAGTAGCAATTGGTCACTTACACATTCATCCAATAGAAATGAGTTCTCCAACAGTATAAAATTTGATATTAGTCTTTTTGTTCTTTGAGTGCTTATTTTTATTCACATATACATTTATCCTAATTTAATATATTTTATGTAGAAAATTTTTTATTGTTTACCATACTTCTGTGTGCAATAAGTTATATATTCACTGACATTTCATTTTTAAAAATTTCCAGTGGCAGTAAGTCTCTAAATATTCATTTTATTTTCTGAGTTATAACTATTATTACTTTCAGAGTATGATTGAAAAAAACATGATGGGTCATGCATTTTGAGAAATAATTATTATACAAGAGTAAAGCTCTGCTGGAAATGTACCTGCCCATTTCAAGGTTAAGAGAGGGGGAACTTTCACAGATAGGTCAATAAATCTGTGGATGAATAAAATTCATTCCTAGAATGAGCCATGGTGCAACATCTAGTCTATTCCTTTTTTTTTTAGTTTCATAAATTTCTTATCCAAGAAAGCTTATGTGTAAAAATAAACTAATGGAAATAGAGTTTTGTTTTAGTAGTGTTACTCAATTCTTTGACATCCTCCTCAGTTATATACCAAGATTCACATTCTAATCTAACATCTAAATTATTTTGATTTTTCTAATGGCCAACATGTTGTTTAAGTCCTGGTGCAATTTTGCTAGAAGAAAAGAAATGGAAACCACCAGACTTACAGAAAGTTATTTAATCTAGTCATTAGTCACTTTCTTTTCTCTCTCTTTTTTAGTTTTATTTATTTAAATTTTTTATTTTAATTTAATACAAGTAGATATTAATAAAGAAAATACAAAAACACTCTTTTATGAAAAAATAAAACAAAACTTCATTACAAAACAATTAGAGAATAACAGTAGTTACTATACCGAATCACTTTCTTGTAACCAAAACCAGTATTTCAGACTTCCCTATCATTTGGTGCCCCACAGGTTGCTAAACTTTCAGTCAAAGCATCATTGCAAGATGGGAGAGGGTGACAATTCCTGTTCTCGGGCAGATTCATTTGAGGGAAAGAGGACATAAGTAAGCTGAGGATCTGAAAACAGATTCCTTGGAAACAGCCAGGCCCTCCAACCTGTGACTATCTCTGCAAATCCCCAAAGGGTGTATCAGCTTGACAACTTCTGCTGTAGACTGTACTATGAAGAGAAATTACTGCTGTTGGAAAAGGAATTGTGAAATGTCTCACAAAGGTATGAGGTGTGATCATAGAATATGGTAAATGTTTAAAATTCTAAAATTATTACAGTAAAAGACACATTGCCATTAATCCTCCTCACAGTACTCCCCCTTGCTTCGAGCACATTTATCTCATTACTCTTGCCATTTTCTGAAGCATTTTGGGATGTTCTCTTTCCTGAGTGTCTTTATGAAATTTGATCAAAACTTCAGTGAATGCTGCTGCCAAGGGTCATCCAAGGAAAGGCAAGCTCATAAAATCATTATAGTGTGTCCTCAGCTATCTTAGATACTGGAACTTGCACCATGAAACTTTTGGCTCTTCCTAAGTTAAAATCACCATGGAAGGTAAAGGTCTTTATTCAGTACAGGACATCAAGGCAGCTGTGACAGTGTAACTAAAGACACTGCCAGAAGATGACTTCCAGAACTGCTGCACAAAGGGTCAAGAACAATGAGATAGGGTGTTTGAAGTGAGAGGGAATATTTTGAGGATTAATGGCAAAGTGGTTTCTATTACAATGAGTTTTTAAAAACTTAAACATTCACCATATTGTTTGTTCACAATGCATATATTTCATATACAAACAAATCTTTATTCACAAGACCCAACTTCTGGTCTTGGTTCTGTAGCTGATGACCTGTTCCTTAACATTCAAAGCTTTGGCAATAGTAGCTGCCCCACTTCAGAGTGGCTGAAAAAGTACATTGAGATTAAAGAAGCAATGAGACTGACATACATGCATAACCCTAGTATCTAATTCTGGTAACTTACAGGGATTGTTATCAATTTTTTTCAAGGCACAATTTTATTTTAAGTTTATAAATAATTTTTACACTTGATCTTAGCCAAAAGGTCAAAAAGCAGCTGTAAATAATTTTTTATCTGAAATAATTCCCTGTTGGAGTGAAGCATATAAAAGAACATACCTAGAAAAAAATGTACATAAAAATCTCAGAAAGCAAGCAGATTATTTGATTATCAGAGAAAAGGCAACATGTAGCTTTATCATTGATACAAATACCCATCCAATAGAATTTGCTTCATCCAGCTGTACTTCAAATCATTGGGTTAGCTACATAGCATAGGGTATGAACCATCCTTTTCACAGATGACACAGCCCTGCAAGAGTGACCCTTTCAATGGTTGGCTGGCATTTGAGTTGTGTGAATTAAAACCAGATAGTCTTTAAACCCACAATGTGTCCTTCAACATAAAACTGATGGTCTTTTCCACTCTCCTCCCATAACAGAAATAATAATGATTTATTTAAATAAAATTAAATGTCAAAATGGTTAGAGTCCTGTGATAACATTTTCTAAAATACTCTGAGAATTGGAAAAAACAAGAATTAAGATATATTATGTAGGGCCAGGGATTTAGCTCAGTGGTT